ACACTCTGGATTAGCGTATATATATGTGCAAGGCAGTTAGTTATGCTGCAACTTATCCTGAGGGCCGCATATCAAGCTGAATGGATCGGTCCATGAGGACCAACCAACCCCATGAGCTCCCAAAATGAGATCAATTAATACATCTAAGTCAATTTTTTTTTGGGTCAAGAATTAATATACCCAAGTCTAACGAAGGAACAGTTGACCCTTTTTGTTATTTTCTTCCACTGTTGGGTCATTATTGTTTTTCTCACTAAAAGAAACCTGTCATGACCTTTAATCCATTTGTGTCTTCATCCTTCTCTGTTGATCAGATTTCAAGCAGTGCATACCATTTGATTGGCGCCACTAATAGAAACCAGAATTTGTTTCCAAAAACAAAACCAACGCCGGCACCAGCCCAAAACAACAGCAGCTCCAGGAAACGGATAGAAACCATACAACTACTTTAGGTTGGAGTTAGCTTATATATTCTCTTCCTCTCTCTCTCTATCTCCCTCATCGCTCATTGATAAGTGATCACTCCCTCCCTCCCTCCCTCCCTCCCTCTCTCTCTCTCTCTCTCTCTCTCTCTCTCTCTCTCTCTCTCTCTCTCCTCTCTCTCTCTCTTTCTCATCGCTCATTGATAAGTGATCACTCCATCTCTCTCTCTCTCTCTCTCTCTCTCTCCAAATATCAAAATGGCTGACCAAAGAGTAGAAGACAATGCTGTCGCCGGCCAACTCCAGAACGACCATCGTATTGCAGACTTTGATCCCCCACAGAAACCCAAGACAAACAAGTTCGCTATAGCCTGCGCCATTTTGGCTTGCACGACTTCAATCTTATTGGGTTATGGTAATTATCCTTTACACCCTCAGTTCTTCAAAATTCACGAGCCAAATAAAATTTATTTTTTCTTTCCTTATTGTTGTTAGCCCCCGAAAATAGTCAGCCTGAAGTTGGCGCTTGTTTTATTGTTTTCATTATTTTTAATCACAATCCTTGAGGGAAAAGTGCATGAATTGTACTGGAGTGTGGTTAATTACATTAATTTTGTGTACACAGATATTGGTGTAATGAGTGGGGCGAATATCTTCATCCAAAACGACCTCAAAATCAGCGACACCCAAACCGCAGTCCTTGCGGGCACTCTAAATATCTACTCCCTCATTGGCTCCGCCTTGGCCGGCCGAACCTCTGATTGGATTGGCCGCCGGTACACCGTTGTCCTCTCTGGAGTCATCTTCTTTGTCGGAGCTCTCCTCATGGGTCTTGCTCCCGGCTACGCCTTCCTCATGTTTGGTCGATTCGTCGCTGGAATCGGCGTCGGCTACGGTCTCATGATCGCCCCGGTCTACACCGTCGAGATCTCTCCGACATTGTCTCGTGGCTTCCTCACATCTTTCCCAGAGGTTTGTTTTGTTTCATTGTTTGTCTCTTTACTATATATTTTTTTCTTTTTTGGTAATTAGATTCCACAAGTACCTCATGCTTTATATTTTGCTTCAATATTGATGAGGTGGATATGAACACAAGACCTCAGCTGTAGTTTTAACTACTTTAACCACTTAAGTTACAAAGGCTTATGTATATTTTATTTCAAATTAATCAAACCCAAAAACAAGATTAACTATGGAAAAAGAGTTGTGATCAATTGTGTGTGAAATTTATACTAATTGATTAATTTGTTTATTTGAAAATATATATGTCTAGGTGTTTGTCAATCTTGGCATATTATTGGGGTACGTATCCAATTATGCCTTCTCCAAGCTCCCAACTAACTTGGGCTGGAGGTACATGCTCGGCGTCGGCGCACTTCCAGCGGTGGTTCTTGCCATCGGCGTTTTAGCCATGCCCGAGTCACCTCGTTGGCTCGTCATGCAGGGACGACTCGGGGATGCCAAGCTAGTTCTCGACAAAACCTCAACTTCCAAGGAAGAGGCTCAACTCAGGCTAGACGACATCAAAGAAGCTGCAGGCATCCCCATGCACTTAAACGAAGACGTTGTTTCGCTCACGAAACAAAGCCACGGCGAAGGTGTATGGAGACAACTGATCCTTCATCCCACACCGGCCGTTCTTCACATTTTAATCGCAGCCCTTGGTATCCATTTTTTTCAACAAGTCACGGGCATAGACTCTGTCGTTTTGTACAGCCCAAGGATCTTTGCGAAGGCCGGGATCACTTCTTACGAGCACACGCTACTGGCAACCGTGGCCGTTGGTTTCATCAAGACCATTTTCATCTTCATTGCCACATTTCTCCTTGATCGGGTCGGACGACGCCCATTGCTTTTGACCAGCATGGGTGGAATGATATTTTCCCTGGCGTGTCTCGGTGCGGCGCTTACGGTCGTCGAGCATCATGACAGCACAATCCCGTGGGCCGTCGCATTGTGCATCACCATGGTGCTATTCAACGTTGCATTTTTCTCTATCGGGCTGGGGCCCATCACATGGGTCTATAGCTCTGAGATCTTCCCGCTAAAGCTGCGAGCGCAAGGAGTCAGTTTGGGAGTAGCCATTAACAGGGTGGTAAGTGGCATCATCTCCATGACTTTTCTTTCCTTGTACAAGGCCATTACGATTGGCGGGGCCTTCTTTCTTTACGCGGGAATTGGAGTGTTGGCTTGGGTCTTCTTCTATACAATGCTTCCGGAAACACAGGGCAGAACCCTCGAAGAAATGGAGCTCTTGTTTGGTAAATACCATAAGTGGAGACAAGCCAACGCCATGCTCAAGAGCAAGAAAGTTGATCATGGTGATGGCGATGAAAACAAGGGTCAAGTCATCTAAGAATAAAAATCAAGTCTACAATAGGTATTGTATTGAAGTCTCACAGCTACCACAAGTGAATCGACATTTGCATTTCATTTGTCTTCCTCGAAGAATTTTTACTGCAACCAATTCATTCCTTCAAGCCACTACATAATTTAAGTTCAAAATATCAAAAAGCAGGGATCCACATCCAAGTGCACTAACATGAGATTTACCCCCATGATCAAGCTCAGCCTTGTTCAATCTTAGTTGTCCAACCAAAACTAACAAGTCAAGAAATGTTTATGGGTTCACAATATATATAAATTAAATAGGCTAGTTAAAGAAAGGCTTTAGCAAGGATTGAAAGTGCATCTCTTTATTATGCTTCACCATGCATTTTCATAGCAACAAAACATATAAGAAATGGGATAAGAGAACCCAACAAATATGGTGCACATAGAGATAAAAAGTTTAAACCAACCTTGTTTTCATGCACACTTTCCCCGTTAAATATGCAGTTATATATTAAAAGAAAAAAAAGTTAAAATTACTGTCATGAGCCATCATTGCTGAATTGGTGCAACAACAACACCAACTTAGCTTTACCACTTTCGTCATCCAATTTCAATTTTGTCAATTATCCTTATAGTTTTCAATTTTGTAAACTTTATCCTTGTCGTTTTCAATTCAGAATAATTCAAGGACACACTTCAAATATGTCAAATTTATCTAAATTCCGTTAAGTTTTGACCATGTGCCACTCACGTAGAGGGTTATTTTGGTCTACTCGAGCTAAACTCATCCACAATCACTCAAATTTTAACCTTAAGTCCAAATATCAGCTTTGACGTTTGTTTTACCGTTAGATGGGTCGAGTGGATTGAAATACTCAACAGATTTTGGAGGAATTTGACAGAAATTGAAACGTGTCCTTTAATTGCTCCGAATTGAACTACGAGGATAAAATTGACAAAATTAAAACTACATGGACGAAAGTAGTAAAACCGGCAAACTACATAGACTAAAAGTGAAGTTTTGCCTTTGTTTTATATTACGGCCCTCCCGCTTCAAATTCTAGTGTCGTTCCTATTGTCAATATAATTTTCAAATATATACTGAAAAGGAAGGCATTTGTTTTAATTCAAAAAAGTGGACCTTTAGCCAACGAGGATTGGTTGAGTTGGTAAGAATCGTTCTCTTTGCTATCAAGGCCTGGGTTCGAGTTTCGCTGCTGATAATCCCTCTTAGTAGGTAATCTGTAAAAACCTAAAAATGGGCTAAGACTCTATCTGTAAGTCCTCAAAGAGGCCTTGATATGCCTTGACCTGGGGATGGGGTAACCTCCCCTCCCCTTAAAAATAAAAAACAAAAAAAGTGGACCTTTAGCATTCTGAAACACTGCTTGATAATATATATATACAGAGAGCTTCCATTGAGGGATCCCTCAAATAAGCTTATTTGAGGGACACCCCTTGTAGGCCCCACTCTGGATTGTATTTCACTAATCCAAATCGTCTATTTTGTAGATACTCATTCAAAGATCATCTCTACAAAAAATCACTTGAATCCGATATGATTTGACCACTCAATTGTGTTATTAAGATTTGAGTACTTTCTTGATGCACCGTTGTTCGTTGATTTTGTAGGACACAATTGGATATCGAAACGGTTTCCGATTTGTCTAATTTTTTGTAAGGATGATCTATGAATGAAGACCTAAAAAATAGATGGTTTGGATCATTGAGAAAAAAAATTGTAGGGAACCCTAAAGAGCATCCCTCAAATAAAATTATTTGAGGGATCCCTCAATAGAAGGGGACTGTATATATATATATATAAGGCAGAGAATGATAAAACATTCAAAAACCCCGAATATGCCCTTTGTCAAAGAAAAAATTTAAAAGCACACAATTTTAATTAAAAGAGGGTGAAATAGTAAAACAACACTGATTTTTTAAAAAGAAAAGAAAAGAAAAATAGAGTCGTGTTTTGCTTGGCTCACAGGAGAAGGGTGAAGAACAGTTTAATCCACGGTTGCCTAGAAAAGAAGAAGAGCTGAAGAACGTGGAGAAAAATTCCACGAGTTCAGAACCTACAAAGCTGGCGGTTTCCACATTTTCAGAACCCATCACCACCATGTTACTTATATTTTCTTCGTCCACTTTACTGGCACCCTTTTTTGCTTCAGAAATCAAAATCGCGAGTAACCAGGCAGGAACACCTAGTGTAAAGACTGGTTAGATCTTTACTTCTCTCTCTCTCTCTAATTTTTCATGGTCGCCAACTCTTGAAGCAGTGAGTTCCAAATCTTCTGCTTCTTTGAATTTTGTGGGTTTGCATTTGGGTTTCAGTTACTTGATGTGGATTTCCCTGTTCTAGTTTCTTCTAAATTTTTAATTCGTTTTCAGGGATTAATCTCTCTCTGTCTCTGTGAAAATAGATGCTCATTGAGCAACCCACAATCTAACAGTGGGATCTTTACTTCTCTCTCTCTCTCTCTCTCTCTCTCTCTCTCTCTCTCTCTCTCATTTTGTGGTTCCTGATGGAATTTCTGTGGGGCTCTCTTGAAGTCCGTGGAGGAAGCCCAAGAGCATGCCGAGCTTACCTCCCACTGCAACTTCTCTAAGTCAACCGAAACTGTTCTCAACCGCGTCTGTTCTTCTTGCGGCAAACCATGCCGATCCAAAACCGTGTAGTCCCTACTCCTTTTCTTTTGAAATTCAATTGTTTTTGTCTTTACTCTGCATTTGCTCATCTGGGTCAGTAGGCTTTCAGTTTAATTTTCATATACATTAGTTGGAATTCAATATCTTTGTTTCTTAGTAAAATTTGAAACTTTTGGTTGTTCTGTTTTCCATTATTTTCAACTATACTGAACTTAATGACCAGCAATGTTTTTTAAGTTTATCAAAGGTACTTAAGTTAGGTGTATCCAAGACGGGATTGATCCTCACATTATCTATCACTAGCCTCTCTGCACGCACTTCCGTGCCTGCGAGAGGTTTTTTTTAAAAAAGTTTAAATTTATTTTAGAATTAAAAAAGATAATGGGTAGTTGTGTTCCATAAAAATAGGATCCATTATCTGATTTTTCTTTTAATTTTAATGTTTTTAAATATAAAAAAGTGTGAATTTACCATACTATTTTCATTTAATTAATAATTTCAATTCTTAATGTTTGCATTAACCAATGACATTTTCTGGTATTTTGAATGTTTCACCATTCTCTGCCTTTTACTTTATATATATAGATATACTGTCATATTGAAAATTTTGGTCTCCTTATTAGATTTTCTTTTTTGGGTTGTTGATTCAAATTCAGTTTCATGTGGACAAAATGGAAAATTCAACAGTTAACCAAAATATTAAAAATATAAAATAAAAGATGATAACTGCACAAAAGAAGGATAACCCACGTTGTGATGTTGGCAGTTGACGCTTTCTTCCACAAAGTTCTGAAAATCTACCACAATATATCTTCAAGCTTCAAACTCAGGTGTTTATCTTCAAGCCTGATATCATATCCCACTAATCGGGTACGAATCTCTCTTTTCTGCTTTCTGTTCAATTTTATTCAAATATTATATTTTCTTTCTGCAGATTATTGATGAAGCAAGCATTTACTTTTGATATTAGGTGTACGGGTCTCTCTTTAATTTTGGGTTTTTTTAATTTTTTTTTAATAGAATCTTTCTTCAACTTAATCATATTTGTTAAATTATTCTTGCCTGTTGTTGTGTTGTTTGTTGATCTGCTATCATGCTTGGGATTTTTTCTTATGATATTTTCATATGTGCATAAATGACAGAAATGAGATTTTTGGTTTCAGCCGCAGAGTGAGATATCATTCCGAGGGCTCAAAGCGAAGAATCTCAGAAGCTTCAAAAATGGCGGTAGTGAAGAAGACCAAGAAGACACATGAGAGCATCAACACCAGGCTTGCTCTGGTGATGAGGAGTGGCAAGTACACTCTAGGGTACATGACAGTCGTAACTCCAAAGGTACGATTTACTATGATTTGGTTTCTTTGTATTGGGTTAGCTTCTGATTTGGTTTTTTTTTTTTTTTTGGGGCAAAATATTACAGGGAAGTTGATTATAATTTCAAACAACTGCCCTCCTCTGCGAAAGTCTGAAATCGAATACTACGCTATGCTTGCTAAGGTTGGGTGCACCACTACAACGGAAGTAAGTGCTATATTGCCATATTATTTGGGTTTGCATTGTACTGAAAAGGTTAAAATGAGTGAACCAAGGTGGTTGGTGTGAGTGGTTCGGCACTCTCATTCCTTAAGAGAGGTCAGGGGTTCGATCCCTGCTCTCGTACGGAGTTAGCACTTTGGTCAACACTTTACCCCTTACGGGTCGACCCGGTGTGAGTGGGGATTAGTCTGGGTTGTGGTTAAGGCTTAAAGGTGCCACCCATAGTTGGGGCCCATCCAGGACCACCTCATGATTCAGACAAAAAAAAAAAAAAGTTTAAAATGATTTAGATGTTAGCTGTTTGTGCAAGACTCAACCCCATTTTCTTTTCTGCTTTCTATTAAATTTATTCAAATATTATATTTTCTTTCTGGGGGTTATCAATGAAGCAAGCATTAGTTTTGATTTTAGGGGTACGTATCTCTCTTTAATTTTGGTATTTTTTTTCAAAACTTTTTGAATGGAATTCTTCTTCGAATTAATCATATTTGTTAGATTATTCTTGCATGTTGTCGTCTTAAAAGTTTCCATTTATCGCATGTATTTTTTTAGACGTCCTTCTTAGCAGTTTCCTTTTTTTCTTTTATAACATGTAAACTGCTAAGATAGACGTCTTGAAAAATATGGGCGATAAAGGAAAACTTTTAAGACCACGATATATCACACTCGCGCGATTAAAATATGAAACTGTTGAAACAGATATCTAAATTAATACTATTGCAAAAAAATATTTATGGAACTTTGGAAGTCGTGCGTAACGCGTGTGATTAAAAAAAGCCTCTCACACGCGCAGAAGCGCGTGCAGAGAGGCTAGTCTAATGAACTTTAGGAGCTAAGGGGATTCTTATTCAATTAATTACCCACACGTTATGTAACATCCCGATCCAAAATAAAAAGAATAGTGAATTAATTAATTTCAAAAATTATGAATTTACAAATTTGCCCTCAGAGTAATGGTAATTTGGTCATTTTAATCCGGGCGGATTTTGGGGCAGTGGCTGGTATATCTACGTAGGTCATACGGAGACGAGTCCGTAGACATGTGGTAAGCTTGAATCGGAGTTGTAACGAGAAAGTTACAAGCAAAACATCATCAGTGGCAAAATCGTAAATAATTCGAAGTGGATGTTTTAAATATCAGATCTCTTCTTCTCTCTCTCTCCCTCTCGCTAGTTCGCACGACACCCCCCCCAAAGCACAATCGCATGCCCCAGCCACAACCGCCGACCGCCACTTGCGCCGGGATTGGTCCCAAAACGACAGGCGGGTCTTCCTCTTCCGACCCCAGCCAATCCCAGCCGCCACCGCCGTTGGAATTCGCCGGAAATTGTAGAAAACGGCCGAAATTTTAATAAACTTCACGGAGCTCGTTCGGGTGATTCCGGCAACCAAATCTTGGGATCCAGGTATGGATCTTAAACCTCTCGAGCTGTTCTTGCTGCTGGTTGTGTTAGTTTTGAGAAATTTCTGTGTGTTTGTAGTCGTATAAGCGATTGAAAAATCTGCCAGTTTCGGCCTCCGATTTCAACCACTTCCGTCGACTTTTTGGGGTAGGTTCAAGAACAAAAGTGACTTCAAATGAGGTTTTACACTTAGGGTAGGAAGCTTGGAGGGCGATTTGGAGTTTTTCCGGCCACCGGAATTTTATATAGACACCCACGCGCTGGTGGTGGTTCATGCGTCCAGTGGTGCACTGTTCACAGGTGATAAACAAGTCATAAATAGGTGATACAGAGTACAGAGGTGATAAAAAGGCGATAGAAATTGTTGTTTGTGCTTATCTTTGATTTCTTGTTTTGTTTCATTTTTTTTTACCTTTCTTTACTCATTCTTAGCTTCCAATTTGTATCTCACATTTGTGTTGTGCTAAATAAGTTCTTTACGTACTCAAATTAGAACTTGTAGTAAGCCGACAATACTCGTGGGATCGACCCCATACTTACAAAATCTATACCTCAAATAGGTTCGTGCACTTGCGGGTATTTTTAATTGGATGATTAGCACATTAATTTGTGTCAATTATTAATACAACAATTTTTGGTGCCATTGCCAGGGAACTAGAAAGGCTGCTTATCTATTTTGTTTGAGTATGTTTGGAGTACTTAGTTCATTTTCGTTTATTGATTGTTGTTTCATTTTATCTTAATTTGTTTTTGTTCCTTTTTCTTACAAGAACAATTTGCATGTGTCCCTTGCGGAGCTAGACATTTCCTTAGATTGCACAATAGAAGATATCCGGGCTCAAATTTTGAGAGAAAGGAACATCCGACTAGCTGTGTCTACTCCCTTGCCTATATCGTTCTCACCGTTTTCGTCATCACCAAGCTCACCAATGGACGAGTCACCTCCACCGTCACCAATGGCGGCCACATCTGTAATTGTGGAAGTTACTATGCAAGAATATTCGTCATCTCAAGCAACTGGACAACCGTCTTGCATAGTATATCCTATGACTACCTTGAATAACTTCAAATTGAGATCGAGCATGATCCATCTATTGCCTAAATTCTTTGGGAATCCCGGAGATAATCCTAACATGCATATCAAAGAATTTGAGGAAGTATGTTCCACAATAAAAATCGATGGAATGAACGATGAAGAAATAAGAATGAGACTTTTCTCATTCAGTTTGAAGGACAAAGCAAAAGAATGGCTTCATTCCCTGCCACCTAATTTCATCACAACTTGGACAGATCTTGCTGCACAATTTTTACAAAACTTCTTCCCAGCACAAAAGACAAATGAAATTTGAAACCAGATGGAAATTATGCAAATGGAGGGAGAAGCCTTCCATGAGTTTTGGGACCGTTACAAGAGACTTCTAAGTTCTTGTCCACATCATAACATACAAGCATGGCTCCTAATACAAAATTTCTATGGACTTTTTGCATCGAATCAAATGATGGTGAATGCAACTGCAGGAGGAGGTATAATGAACAAGACTCCAACGCAAGTACGAGCGATATTTGAGCTTCTTGCTGCAAATTCTGGCCAATTAAACTTTAGGAAAACCCATCCAGAAGAGCTGGATCTTATGAGATAAGTTCTCTTTCTAATATGGAAGCTCAAATAGCAAATCTAACCAATATGATGAAAAAATTGATGCCGGAACCATCCAAGATTTGTGCCTTTTGCACCGCAACAGATCATGCAATTGAAGCTTGCCCCCATGGAGCGAACCATCCTTCAATGAATTTGTGATGGAGGAGGCAAATGCTTTTGGCTCATTTCAGAATAATCAAAGGCCTAAGAATGACCCTTTCTCATAGACATACAATCCGGGGTGGAGAAATCATCTGAACTTCAGGTGGAGCAACAATCCAAATGTTCAACAAGGGCCATCTCTACCATATAAAGGCCAAAATAATACTCGTCCACCTCATGGTCAAACCCAACATTACAATCCACCACCACCTAACCAATCAAGCTCAAGCCAATCTCACCAACAACCTGCAAAGGAATGACATCCACATGCAAAAGACAGATAAAGCCATAGCCAATCTAGAAAAGCAGGTATGGGAAATTGCTACAGCTTTGAGCCAGAGGGAACCTGGGCTAAGGCCTAGCCAAACAGTAATCAATCCAAATGGGCATGAGCAAGTTAATGAAATCATCTTGAAAAGCGGTAAGGAAATTCATGAAGTTGAAGATAAGGCAAAGACCATGGTTCAAGACAATGATGAGGTAAAGGCTAAGCAAGTGATTGAGCCTAACGAAAAGGATGGAGTTATCAAGGATAACCAAGTTCCTTCTATGTCCGAGTGGATCCCAAAGCATGTAATTGCAAGAACGGAAAGAAAGGAAAGAAAGGAAAAGGTATATCGTGAACCTACTAATGAAGATATCTTACGTGCCCCTTTTCCTCACAGGTGGATGAGTTCTAAGAAATATCAACATGTTAATGACATCTTGGAAACCTTTAAGAAGGTGCAAATCAACATTCCTCTTTTGGATGCAATCAAGAAAATTCCAAGCTATGCAAAGTTCCTGAAGGATCTTTGTACCAAAAAGAGGAAGCTCACGGAATACGAAACTATTGCATTAACAGAAGAAGTTTCCCCCATTTTGCAAAGCAAACTTCGCCCCAAGTTGAAAGATCTAGGAAGTTTCACAATTCCATATGTCATTGGTGATAAAAGGTTTGAAAAAACTTTACTTGATTTAGGTGCTTCCCTTAATCTAATGCCTTATTCTGTTTTTGAAGTACTAAAATTAGGTGATCTTAAACCAAAATCTATTAGCACCAATTGGTGGATAGATCAATAAGGTATCCAAGGGGAATTCTAGAAGATGTGCTCATAAAAGTAAATGATCTTATCTTAACCGTAGATTTCTTAGTTCGTGAAATGGAAGAAGCTCCTATTCCGGGTGCGGATCTTCTTTTGATTCTTGGCCGTCCTTTCATGGCCATTGCCAATGAAAGGCACCCTCACAATGACCGTGAATGGAGAAATTACGTCATTCAAATTGTTTCAAGCCATAAACCTTCACAGTTATGTAAGTGAATGTTTTCAAATTGATGTGGTGGGCAATATAGAGGAAGACAAGTTGAACATCCATGTTCCAAGCAAGGATGAAAATATCGGCGATACAGATATTATCGGGCCTTCAATTTACGAATATTTCGGGGGATATCGATGTCGTTTTAGGTATCGGGGAAAATTAACAAAAAAGACAGATATTGGCTTAAAAACATGGAATTTTGAAGTGAAACTTTCATAGATATTAAGCACATTATCAATGAATGTATTGAACAAATAAAATTCAAAATATATTGAGTATAAGAATTGCATATGATGAAATCTACGTGTATATAATGTGTGATGAAAATCCTGAAAATAAATACAATTAGACTTAACACAACAAAGACAACATTATTCAAACATAACCCAACCCAACCCAACCGATTAATACATAACCCAACATTATATTACAAGAGTTAGACTTAATGATAAAG